AGAGAGAGAGAAAGAGAAAGATTTAGTGGAGTGTGTGTTTGAACTCAAGTGTTTTATGCCTTGTGTTCATGTCCTTGAAACAAAAGAAGCACAGGGTATTTATAATTTTTGAAAACGAGTAAGAGAGAGGTAATAAGCTATAAACATGGAAACAATCATGATTCAGAATCAATTATACAAGTGATTGCCTTTAATTAAAGGATCACTTGCTTAACAGGTAGTGACAGGTTCAAAATAAGGAAGGAAATCAATTTGTCAGCAGACTAACATTTTCCATAAAAGAAGTAGTGAAACATTAAGTAAGCAATCGAGTCTAGGTATAGAAATACTCTAATTTTGGAAAGGATTCAGTAAGGCAAAACAGGAAAAGAAATCAGTTAACCTTAACAGGCGAGTGAAATCATAATTTCACAAAGGAAAAGTTTGAAATCAGTCACAAGTTTGAAGATCAGTCAAAGAAGGAAACTCAACATATAAGTAAGGTGCATAAACACTATACATGCGAGGCCAAGCCTATTGGCAAGAGGAAATAACATACAATAGTAGCACAAAATTCAGTAGATAGCAATATTCGAAGCATGATAGTCTAGTAGGTCAAGTCACATTGAATCATAGAATATCAAAGGCATGCAAAGATCTCACAGTAGCAGGTGAGGAAAACCCCCTTTTAAAAATTAGGGTTTTGAGCATAATCGAGTTTTAGAGATGATAGAAAACCAGAGTCAGAAGAGTCACACAAAGGAATAAACGATTTTAAAATAAAGAACTTCAAATCGAGTCATGCACTTAAACGAATAGTCTTAGACTCAAAGCCATAGGATTTTCAACAACAGTTGAGTTTTAAAAGAGGATAAACAAACAAATCGGACAAAACTCAAGCAAACAAGCATTCGTCTAATAAACAGTCAAAAGAAATTAGGGCTTTTAACATGCAAACTCAGGTAGAAGAACGATATGAGCAAACATAGCAAAACATGTCAAAAATCAGAGAAAAGTTTTGAAATAACTTAACAAGAACCCTAATCGGAAAAGATAAGGGGTTTTGAAAGCAGAGTTTTAAAAAGAAACTTCGAGAAAAACGCTTAGAAGTCTAAAGCAAACATAGATCTGAAGCAGATCCAAGAGCAATCGAAAGAACCTTAGAGGTTAGGGTTTCAGAAGAACCCCAAGTGGCGAAAAAGGCCTTGAAAACCATCGATCTAAGCAGGAGAGTCAAAAGTATGACTCGAATAGCCATGGCTGGCCAGAGAAAGGTCAGAGACGACCGGAGAATAGTCATCAAGCAAAGACTGGACAAAACCCTTTTAGGATTTAGTCATGAGACCACAAGAACGAACACGTAGGGGCCATGAGAGGTTGATACAGGTCTCCGATGACCTTGGAAGGCCATGGATTAGAGCTGATTAGGGTGGCGGCGGCTACGATTTGATGTGGTTGTAGAGAGGATTTGGGAGAGGAGGGGTTTCAAAGGCGGCGGATTATGAAGAATGAAAAGGGTTTGGGGGGTCTTTGGGTTTAATTAGGAAAAGATTTCAAATTAGCTCTCATTTCCTTAACCTTCATTTTTTGGATTATCTTGTAATTTTCTCTTGATGTAGTGAGCTATGGTGGTATAGTCTACCATACTATTATCAAATGTTAGCCCACAGTTTTCATGAGGCCTTAAGGTTTTAATTCTAACCCCAGGACTTTTTCCATCTCCAAATATTACTTTTATCTACCATTAACTCTTTCCTGGTTGCCAGTTCTGGTATATCTTTGAAATTCATCCCCTAAACTAACTCTTTGAAGTCATTCAGACAATTCATTTTTCTTTTGCGCATCAATTGACTCTAATTATTCAGAGTCATACTCTTCAGAATCATGCACATATTCAGACTCACTCTCACACTCACTACAATCTATTCCAACTTCATTAATTCTAGATAAAAAAGATTCAATATTTTGGGATATATTTGGAACATCTACAACTACCTCACATTCATCTACATCAAATATATCAATTATACAGTATTCATCAGATACAAGAGACATTAACTTCCTAATATCATCATACTCTACTATTTTATAATAAGTTCCTTAAGGACTAGTTACTATCAATTATTGAACATATATAAAACCAAACTTATAAATAAACTTATCAACTATGTATTTAAAGAACAGTAAATCAGGAGCATACCCTTTCCAAAAATGAACTAGTTTCTTGCTATAGAGGAGATGTGCTTCCTTGATCCACTCACAATCATGATTGAATCTCAAGTCAATATTAACCATTTTAATAATCTAAAAATAATTAATTAAAAATATCAATATCTGGATAATATTAAAAAGAAGAAAGCAAATTAGGAAATAAAATAACTGAAAATAGGGACCACAAGAATAAACAAAACCAACAAGGGACCCCTCACATAGAAACATCATTAATTGAGAATAAATAAACCAACAAGGGACCTCCCCCTCCCCCAAACCAAAAAATATATACATTCTAACTGTTTTAGAACCAATAAACCAACAAGGGACCACATTAATGAATGGTGCATATTAAAAAATCTGAAAAGGAACCATATTTTCACGCACACACCCGACATAAATCAAAATGCTTGTTGACAAACAATATGCAGAAGGAAACAAAGAACCCATCTTCCAACTTATGAATTAACTGTATAACATAGAGGTACCCAAAACAATAAACAAAAACCGAAATGTATTAAACCCTAACCACCATTTGGGGACCATATGTTAAAAGCACATGCATACAAAATAAACACCTGAGTGACACAATAAACAACAAAATATATCAGGAATACACACACGCAAACACAAAAATTTTCATTTCAAAGAATATCCAAAAACCCTAAAGTCAACACATAGTGGTTTAAAAAGGATACGACTAACACAAAAACATTGAAATAAACAATAAATGTAAGAGAAAACGACATAACTACCCGAAGATTTTACCTAGAAAGCCTCGTGCATTACTAACAAGCCGACATTGTAGTGAGACAGAAGAGGGATTTGTTTTGGTTCAGACAGAATTTTAGGTGTTAATGGGATATGATTTGTGGTGCGTGTCTAATTAATTGAAGGATATTGGGTCGGGTAACGGGGCAGTTCAGGAAATATATGGGTTTATTTTATTTTGGGTGGGTTAGTCGTTTAGGAGGCGACACGTGGCTCGCAGTTTAAAATAAGAATATTTGTTCCTGGAACTATGATGGTAGGGACCCTAGAGGCCACATAGTGAAATGGAATTATTTCAAAGCTAAAAGGATATAAATTTCCCTTTTTCGGTGATTAAACGAGAATATTAGGAAAGATAGTTATAATAAGGTGAAAATATATAATTGTAACTGTTATAATAAGGTGAAAATATATGCTATTAATTAACATAGTTAAGCTCCCGTTTAGCGATAAATTTTAGCTATTTTTTTCTAATTTTTTAAAAATAGTTTTTGTTCATGAAATATGATCAGATTTTGATAAAAATTTGAATGTTTTTTCAGGTTCCCAAAAATTGATTTTGGGTAATTTTTTGGGGAAGCTTTCTTACACTCACAAAACTTCAATTTTCCCAAATAAAATGCATGAGCAAATACAACTTCAACTTCCATTTTTTTTTTCTATACAACTTTAAAAAAAATCAAGTTTCAACCAAATCTATGTCCAAATACTAGCTAAGTAAGAAAATTTTAAGTTCAGACAAATGTCATGCATATGTGTGAATTTAAGTATCGATATAAATAAGTTTTTTTTGGATACTTTTTCCTGTATCCGGTTCTTGCTTAGAGTTCCACTTTAGAGGGCAAAAGCTTCCTACAAAAATGTGACTCGATTTTCAGGACTCGGAATACCTCTAGCTAATGATGAATGAGTGCTTACTAAAATTACGGGTAGAAAAATGTACTCATTCCATTTCAATTTAGCTGATGTAATTTGACTTGGCACAAAGTTTAAAAAAAAAAAGACTTCTAAAATATGTGGTCCTAAAAGTTTAAGGGGCAAAAGCTTTATGTGACCACAGCATTTGTGTAGCTATAAAAACTTCTCATTAAAGGTAAAATGAGTAAAATAAAAAGTTTAAAGTTAAATTATTTTCAAATATAAAAATGTATCATTCTTTTTTGAATGGACTAATATAAAAAGTGTCATTTAAATTAAAAATGGAGGAAGTATCTTTATTTCATGAAAAAAGAAAAATACTGAGCTTTAAGTTCTCTAATGTTTAATTAAATGATCTTTGGAGATCTGTGAAAAAAGAAGATTCGTCTGTACTTACAATTGTTAAATCACATTCTCAATGGGTTATGTTATAACGTTAAAATTTTATACTTATTGAAATTTTAGTTATGTTTTATACGCATACACATACATAAATGTTCGTCAACATTATTGATTTTGATTGAATCCATTGTACAGAGGGGTTGCATTCACCCCTGCCTATCATAGCTCATAATCACGAGTTAAGGCCAGAACTTGCATAATTGCCATTATCCTGTGGGAAAAATAACTAACAAGAGCGACAACTACAACACTTGGTGTGATATCAAGTAAGCTTTCATTTACCAAGTATTAGAACAAAATGTGACAAGGCTAATATTTTTTGTTAGTTAAGATTCTTGTAATGTCCCCAATATTTCTCTAGTTTGATAATCGGGACTTAATGTTTACAAACTTGTAATTATTTGCCCTAATGTTCCAAGATTGAACAAACTTCCATTGAATGCCTTGATGAACGGAGCAAGCTTAGACAAGTGGTTCGTTATATTAGTCTAGGTATACGCAAGTTGTCTAGACACTGTAGCAATACTAATAAAAAGAAGAAAAAAAGGAGGATTACAAAAGCAATAAAGGATGTTATTTATGATGTCAGAGCAAGAAAAAGTTTTACGGGCAAAGATAAAGTAGCTATAGCTGCAGTGTTTTGGGGCAAAATCATCAATTCATCTGATAGCATCACTGGAAAGAACAATAACTAGGGGCGGTGCTAGCTCGTATACATGTTCGGCTGAACCAATAACTTTGTTTCAAATCATGTATTTGTCTTAAGAAATCTGTAGAATATATACAAATTATTAATTTAGAACACAATAACTTAAATGAACTAAAATTGCGAACTCATAAGCTTCAAAACGTAGCTCCGCTTCTGCAGATAACAATACACTCACTAGGATGCAACATGGAACTGCCAAAGAGACCAGCAATGGTAGATATGTTGAAATTACATGTACCTTTTGTGGGATATAACTTCCTATTACATATCAGAAAGGCCAAATACATACATCTTGATATCCTGTTTAGGCCATAAATAAGCATCTGTTTCCAACTTCTGCTTCATGTGTTTGCAATTTCTGTAAATCACAGGCCCATGTAAACAAAGGGCACCTTAATGATCACAACAGAGCACATCACAAGTAAATCTAAAATTTCTTGTTTTGCACAGAATATATCACTGTCCAAGCCTGCATATACATTATTTGATTCAATAACCAATGCACACAAAAAACATCCATTCCACTGTTTGATTCACTAAACCTTGTTGTGAAAATACTCAAACCTATAATCTTCTAACAAAGAAATTATAAGAGACAATCAAAATACCAACTTTGCATTTTAGCAATTTCTTGTTGAATCCTAAAACATTGTCGTCAAGATAGTTTTCTTGCGGAAACAAATTAACTTTTTAATGATGGCAGTGTCCGAACTTACTTGCATGCACCTCGACTATTTCACGGGATATATATGTTACCTCCCATCAGCACACAAGATAGTTTTCTTGCGGAAACAAATCAACTTTGTCTTATGATGGCAGTGACCGAACTTACTTGCGTGCACCTCGACTATTCCACATGATATATATGTTACCTTCTATCAGCACAAATACAGAATAACTCTACCCGATAGGAAGAAATCACCTTAGTTTAAAAAATCTAACTTTTAACTGAAAGCCTTGCATAGAAAGCTTCCCTTCAGCTACTCATGGAACTTCACTTTCAATAATTTACTATACTATTTAGCTCAACTATTTAAAATCCACATTAACACCAAGCTAAAGACATACAACATTACAACCGAAGTTTATTCCAAGTTCAATTGATTTACTATTCTATGTAACACTGACGATATACGATTACAAAACACATGACTACATGAAAAAACCCCAAACATGAAACCCTAAATCATTAATCGTAAGAAGTAAAAGACAAATTTACACTTCTTTACTTTCAAATTACCTTTTTTCCTATACAATTTTACTCCTGCTAACCACAGCTAGGGTTTTAACTTGCTGTTCGCTGTAACGGCGCTTGAGGTAACAGTCGAGGATCTCCATAACGCAAACGAACCGCTTCATCTCCTCTAATTGGCGGCTCAACTCGGCTTCTCGAGACCTGGCTCGCTCAAGTCGCGCCTCCGTCTCGGCTAACCGGTCTCGGAGGTTATTGATTACTACAGTATTCTCGTTCGCCGCCGGTGTAGTTCGGGTCCGGGTCCGGGTCGGGTTGGTTAAGGCGTCTTTTGACGGGAATTGTTGACTGCCGTAGCACATTTTTTTCCGAGGGAATTTTGGAGTAGTTGTGTTAATGCTAATGATTTGGAACCTGTTTTGGTAGAAGGGGAGGTGATTAAATGGGAATATTAGGAAAGGTGTAGAGAATCAACGGTGATTATCTCTTGCTTAATTTAGACCATCTGATCTTAGCAAACACTAAGGCCTCGTTTTTTTTTTTTTTTTTTAAGATTAAGACCGTTTGAATTTGAATACACATCTCAATATAAAGATGTGTATTAAGATTAAGATATTTGAATCTGAATACACATTTGAATATATTAAGATGTGAATTCAGATCTGAATACTAAATAATTAAGATTGTTTGATTTTTAACATCTAAATAAATAAAATTTATCTTTATTTTTGAAAATTAATAAATATAAAATTCAAATGAAATACTAATCAATCTAATATTCTATCAATAAAATATATAATTTTTTAAAATATAATAGTTGTTGGTAGTGATGGCTAACGGATGAATGTCGACTAGAGGCGGTGGTTGGTGATAGTTTTGGTTGATGATGGTGGTTCATGCTAGTAGCTAGTAGTGATTGGTAGTGGTAGCGATTATGATTGAGGATAGTGGTGGTGGGTGGTGATAGTTAATAATGGCGGGTGGTGGTAGTAGTTGTGATTAAGGAAGGTAGTGGGTGAGTGATGGTAGATTATAATGATGGGTAGTGCCGGCTGTGGTTATTAATGATGATGAGGGTAGTTAGTTGTGGTAGTTGAGGTGGATGAGTGTTGATTGTGAGTGAGAATGATGGTGGTCGGAATGGTGGGGATGGTGGGTGGTGATGGTCGATAATGGTGGCGGCTATGATTGAGGATGATGGTGGCGTCGTGGTGGTGGTGGTGGTTGAGTATGATGGTGGTGATGGCATGATGGTAGTTGATAATGATAGGCGGTGGCGACAATTAATAATGAATATGCGATAGCATCTTAATGAAATTAAGTCTCTATTATAGATCTTAATCATACATACCTATTCAAACTCATTAAGTGATTGTGAATTAAAAAAAACGCACTTAATGATTAAGATACGAGTAATTAAGATTCAAACTTAAAAAAACAAAAGCACTTAATATTTGAGATCTGAATGATTAAGATTCAGACCTCCATTAAGTGCAAGTAAATGAGGCCTAAGTTTAGCCCAAATATATCAATTATTTAACTGATATAATAAGGTGAAAATATATACTAACATAATTAAGTTCCCGTTTGGCCATAGATTATAGCTATTTTTTTTATAAAAAAAAAATTGAAAACATTGTTTGTTGATGAAATATGATCAAATTTAAGTTCCCAAAAATTGGTTTCGGACAATTTTTGAAGAAAAAAAATCTTCCACTCACAAACCTTTAATTTTTTTCAAATTAAATGCATGTCCAAACACAACTTCAACTTCCAAAAAATTATTTATTACACAACTTTAACAATTTTTTTATCAAGTTTCAACCAAATCTATGTCCAAGCACTAGCTAAGTAAGAAAATTTTATGTTCAAACACATGTCATGCATCTATTTGATTTTAAGCATCGGTACAAATAAGTTTTTTTTGGATATCTTTAGCGGTATCCGTGCTCGCTTTGGGATCTGACTAACTCCGATTCATGTCAAAGAGTTCCACTTTAGAGGGCAAAAGTTTCCTACACAAATGTGACTCGATTCTATTTTTCATTTTTTTCGATCTTGTACCTTAGTACACTGAACACCAACCCAATCTCGACCAAAAAAAAAAAGGAAAAGCAAGGTGAAGGCTTTCCTTTCATTACTCTTTCCACGACAAAGTCAGCATCTTAGCCAAAAGAGCAAGGATTTCTTCCTCTGCACCTGCTGCTATTGATGTGTCTACTCCAGACAAGTCAAAAGTTGTTGATAAACCGGCGGCTGCTTCAAAGCTTCAGATGCCAACTAGTCGGTCGCGCTCTTACCTTCTCTCTTCTCTATGAGTATGCTTACAAAGCACCACCAATCCCTTTGAACAAGATTCGAGCAAGCTTGGATCAGTTGTGCTTGAGGGTGATTAGAGGAAATCAAATGAATCATAACATTCTCAGACTCGGAATACCTCTAATTAATGATGGATGAGTGCTTACTAAAATTACGGGTAGAAAAATATATTTCATGAGAAAAGAAAAAAATTATTTTTATATATTTCACGAGAAAAGAAAAATATGTCTTTATATATTTCATGAGAAAAGAAAGATACTGAGCTTTAAATTCTCTAATGTTTAATCAAATGATCTTTAGCACTGTTTTAAAAGGCTTTTCTAGGACTCGCCTTCGGGCTCGCCCCGGGGCGGGGCACTATCAAAACGCCTTGAGACTCATGTGTGGGGCTTAGTTCTCTGAGGCTTACGCTCCCAAGCGCCCGACGGTGCGCCCTAAACACGCCTAACGCTCAACGCTCGGGACTCGCCCAACAGTTCCTATATAAATCATGTGTTGAATTCACTAATTTGTATTGTTAACTCTCAAAATTATTTAACAAATAAATGATTAAAGTTATTCTTATCTATAGAAATATGAAAATTGTGAATAACTCAAATCACAAAACATATTATTGCATACATATTTACTAATTGAGAACATCGTAAGGGTGAATATTTCTTCTAAAAATAGATAACCAAAATTTGTATCTTTACGTGATAGATCTTCATGTCTTAAATCTGTGTTTCTCAAAATTATCATACATTTTTTATTTTACTATTTAAAAATAATTTTATATTATTCATGAAGGAGTAATATTTTAAATTACGGTATTGAAAAATTTATTGTGTATTTACTTTTAAAGAGGTAATATATGCAGTTTGATAATACTTTTTAAGAAATTATAATTTTTAATTGATTGAAAGTTAATAGGTTGGAGTTAATTTATATTTCATAGTAACTTTAACAGTAGTATTATTTATATTTTATGCTTGTAAAATATGCTAAATATTTTATTTTATATGAGTTTTTTAATTTTTTTTAGTTTTTTTGAACTTTTAATGCATCTTTTATATTTTATTGTGTTATAATACTATATTATTAATTCATAAATTTAAAAAATTAAAGATCCGTGGGGCTTACGCCCCAGGTCTCGAGGCTTTCGCCTCGCCCCGTATTAAGTAAAACGCCCCGCCT